TCCTAAATGTAATATATTTCTATTATGCATTCCAATAGATTTATGAACATTTAATTAATTAGAGTAATTGCACAAAATGCAATTTATCGTCCTTTTACCTATAAAGGTGGAAAATAAACGATACATTGAAATTTTCTTTGTAGTAGAAATCCTTTGATATAAATATTAATTAACCTAATTAAATGCAAAAACTGTTAATAATTTGTAACTCAATGAAATTATAAATAGGTCTTATGTTTTTGCGGTTGGTGTTATTTCAAATTGGTTAATAACTAGATTTTCTATTTCAATTTCTGCATTGAAGTAATAAGTGATTATTAGTGATTATAAGTGAACTGAAAAGTACACACTCTAATACACTCTAATTAGTGTAATCTGTAGTCATTGAAGTCTAATTATAAAAGTGCAAAATCACTCTAATTATTCCGCAATAATCAATATTAAATTATTCTGAATATTTAAGAACATTTAACCTTTAGAAACCTCTTACTGCCCTCAATTCACACATTGCACCAAGCCACGAACGTTTTAGAGTTGCTTTTGGAAGAGAATGAAGTAAACGATGATCAATCATCTTACACAAACATTTTCAATATTATTACATATTTTTTCTAAACAATACATTATTACTAAAACAATTATTTTATTATTTATGCAACTATATATAACGCAATATACAAAGTGCTCACATGAAACGGTTAATATGATTTTAAGCATTTTCTGATCTTTCATAATTTCTTGAAACACAAAGAGTTTGCAATAATTGAACTTTTATATTGACAGATACTGAAGTTATAGTATATTATCTTTGTCTTATATAGACAAAGATAGTGTCTAGTACACGGCTCGCTGCGTCAATTAATACAGTATTAAATATAGTAAGAACAATAGACAGGATTGTAAATTTGATTGCATATTAAGAACTCTTCAAACTTTTCAAACCATCTGACATATGAGTTTCATTGAATACTTTACAGTAATAATCTTATATTTATAATATAATCGTATATATCAACGATAAGCGATATATATATAAACCGAAAACTGCAGTAAAATATGTTTATTTATTTAATTATATACTTAATTACCTTTCAAAAATATGCTTATATCATCTATTGTATGTACTTGTGCCATCTATTCCACAAATAATAAAAAAACTAAGAAAACAAATAAAGAAAAAATTGAAGAAAAATTTAACAGAAAATAAAAAAGGGTTACTTCACTAATAAAGCAAAAAAATATCACCTCATCAAGGAAACATATATTCTGATACAACATGAGATCCAACTGCACCAGCACATATAGCAAATTGCAAAGTTTCGAGGAAAACGATACGTGTGCCATCAACGAAACCCTTCAACGATTCCAACAAAACTCAGGGAAAACTATACGCAATCCTGTGAAATGGAATGAAATGAATCTCATTTGTTAATTACGCAAAAATATGTCAAACTCACCTACACAAACAAACAGATAAACAAATAGACACCATCGCGTTCACACATGCAAACAAGCCAGCAGACCACACTTGCATGGAGGAATGTAAAATGCAGCAGCGAGATATGCAAAAACCATATAACCATACAAAAGCAAAGAATGCAAATTAATAAAAAATGGATGTGATGTGTTTGTATGTATGTGTGTTTGTATTGTGGTATCTCATACAATGTGAAAACAATTACTGAAGAAATCATAAGTAGCACAGGCGAATCCTACGAACGCGCACATGCGAAAAAAATTCTTAGGAGCAGCAAAATAATGCATTGCGGCTATGATAAAATACTTACTTATTTATTATAATTGAATTACACGCCATCAGCAAAGTTGTGAAAATTAATTTGCAAAGAAAACATTTAAAATAATACAAAATAAAAATAATATAAAAGGATTTAAAGCAGAAATAGCATTAAAGGAAAAATATATATAATGAAAGAGATGCACGTTGTGATAATTACAAAACAAAAAAAAAAATTTAATGAAAATTGCAACAAAAGTGCACCGGGAATGAAAAGAAAAACACACTTCGAGATATCAACGAAAAAATGCAGAAATTAATTACAACAACAATTGCATTTAAGTGCCTACATTGTAAAATCATACATTAACATAATACTCAGTTCATATATATGTACTATATATACACTCTATATACACATGTGCACATATACACTCTCAACTAGACTCAACTTAAACATTAACAATTTATAAGCACAGTTCAGTGCACCAATGGATTTCACCTTTACAATGAGCGTAAGCTTTTCACAAGGAGCAAAAACCTTATAACCTAGAATGTCCTTGTACGTAGCGCTTTGTATCGGTAAAAGTTCGCGTGCGTTTGCACGGAAATACACAATATCGGCAGCAAAATATTTTTTATTTTCTGTTTTTTGTTCCACAAATGCATCAGTAGAAACAATCTTTTAAATCAATGAACTATGCATGCATGCACTTATTGTACGCTGACTCGTTGTCATTATGAAATGTTAAATTTTTATTCATTCCTGGCTCAAATATATGTTATAGAATGGCTTGAAGGCAACAAAAATTGTTAATATGAAATTTTTCAAAACTTAAAGTATCCCATATATTTTCGATCTTCATGTTTTGTTATTTTTTATACAAAAATTCGATAATTTTCTATCTTTCTATACTTAGTTATTATGAGGAAAAATATGAACGTAAGGAATTGTACATATTTCCAATTAAATATAATTCAATTTTTATTTCTCTTTCATTAGAAATTACAAGGAAAAATTGAAACTTATTTTATTACATATCTCTGATGAAAATATCTAATTATTATTATGTTGAAGCTAGTTGAGTCAATACTCTTGAACACTTTTACTCTCTATTAACTGCGAGCTTTCTTCATAACCCCTCTCTACGCCTTGGCTTCATTAGACTAAGCAATAATTGACCTTCCGTTCTGCATCTCCCCGAGGAGCCTGTAAACATTATAATACTTCCCACTACTTCTATATCCAGGAAATGCAGAATACAATAAAAACTTACTGTCTCATATACATATTTCCGATTTTTGAAAACTGCTCTAGGTTTCTACACAGAAATACTTCGAATTGTTAGAAGTTTAAAGCCATTACTATCACACTAAATCACAAACCATAAAAATTTTAACTTCAGACTGACAGGCAGACTGACACATGTGTTCAGTGCGCAGCTTAAGTTACCTCTCAGTATGGACCTAAAGATATGTATGTCTATATGAAAAGATTACAAATGACAAACCATAAAAATTTTAACTTCAGACTGACATAAGTGTTCAGTGCGCAGCTTAACTTACCTCTCAGAGTGAGCCTAAAGGTAAACGACTTCCACAACTGTTAATGAAGAGTATTTTTTTCTTATAGTATGTAAAAAGCATCAACAGCCACAGTGTGAGATTTAACTTGCTAAAGTCACCTCTCAGGAATGAATGAAGAATATTTCTCCCATTAAACCAGAGAGCAGTGCTGAAAACACCATTACAGTAATTAGAAGAAAAAGTTGATATCAATAGGCCTAGTACCTAAAAATCTAGGTTTAGCTTAACTGAATTTAATAAATATCATATTTTTCTTATTTATAAAAATAATCTTCTATACTAATCATCATAACAAGTTTAATATACAAGGTATTATCAAAGGGAACGAGAATTTTTTTCATAACGTATTTACTAATCTTCAGAATAAACATCCATCCCCTTCAGAGCAACCCCCTTTAATATTTTGCACTTATACTACCGTAATCTTTAATTTAAGAAATACTATTAGAACACCTTTTTAGGGAAGATCCATTCACTTTGAGATTTTTTTTTAGTTTCATCGAATGGATATTTTTTTGGGTCCATTAAAAAGTAATTAATATTGAGGCTTCATACCTGTGTGGTTGTGGCATTAAAGTGTTATGTTTCTACAGTTTGGGTCGCTTTTTCTTGATTCCTTTACCTAACTTGCGTAAAACTATTAGATAGTAGACCTTATATACTATTTGAAAAGTGGATCGAGTTTCTTAATTCCATTTCAATTATAGAAAAGTTGATTTTAGGGGTTTTGGTTTTTCAAATAACTTTCCTTGAGACAATTAAACTTTAATCTCGCATTAGAACAATTTTATATCGTCAAAGTCATTAAGTAATTGTTTAATTGTTAAAAAATTCAATAATTTCTGAGCATATTCATATCCACTTCACTTCACTAGAGCCATAAAACATTCCTATTCCTTCGACAACTTCTTTAATGAGTATTCTTTTATTAGTTAGCACTATATGTTTAATAATTCCCTCGTTTTTATTATTTATGAACGTTTTAGAATGATCGCACCTCGCATCGTCCTCTATGTTTTCTTAATCTTCATGAAAAATGTTGTACCATACATAAATTAATAGTTCTAACATAATACCGTTGTCAAAGACCTATTTGGATATTTAAATGTTTTGCACAAATTATCATTTTGTCATTTTGCCTTTAGTTGAGAAATGCAAACAAAGTTAAAATATACGGTAGTAGTAGTGCAACCAATACGTAAAGGAAATCTTAACTTGATGTATGTGAGATGTGTATGTGAAAATGATTAACAACTAAAACATCTGACTTAGGTTAATATATTGTTAAATAACTGATCAACGACTTCTTTCTTATAGATGATAATGGTTAATTATAATCTTCCCTAAACATATTACTCAAAAAATATTTTGATTCATATTAAATTACTTCATCAATATACAATAACTTAAAAATTATTAATTTGTTTATAAATTATAATTAAAATATTAATTTAAAGTTATTTTAATTATACGAAATACTTTAACTACAAATAAACACAACAACAACAGCAGAAAACTAAACTATACTACACATAAATTAAACTAAAAATTAAATATTGAATTTTTATTAAATATTTTTAATAAAATGTTTAAATAAATATTTCAATTCGAATATTAAATAAAAAAAAATGAAAATTAAATTGGAGAAAAATTATTTAATATATTTTAATTTGCATAGATGAAGGTAATCATGCCTTACAAGAGTTCCTTGCTGCACGCAATCCCAAACAGCAGCACAGCAGTACTCTGGAATCGTACTTAATAAAGCCAATACAACGCATCCTGAAATATCCTTTGCTGCTACAACAGTTGCGCAACTTAACCGATTCACGCGCCGATGAACACTTACATTTATGCGGTAAGTAATTTCAGTTGCATTTCACATACTTGGCTGCCACTTGGAGCAAATAATTTCCATTGCTCGTTTTTTATTCAATTTGCAGAGGCACTTAAGGGCATGGAAAAGGTAGCTGAGCACATTAATGAAATGCAACGAATACACGAGGAATACGGTGCGATATTTGATCATTTGTTCCGGCAACACCAAAAGTCATGCAAGCAACCCATTGACTTGAGTCCAGGTAAATAAAGAGACATTAAATTATCAATGAGCAAATAAGATTGCGCCTGCAGGAAACCATTAATATTATGTACTCCTCCAGAGCTGGCAATGTGAAATCAATAAATTTGCCACATGCTGACATGACGCTGTCCGTGTAATTTCCACATGCAATGTTATTAAACTTTTAAATTTCAGGTGACCTACTCTATTATGGCGGTGTTGAATGGCTTAACATTTCCGATTTTCTGGGCAAGATTAAAAAGGGCTTGGAATTGCATGCTATGTGCTTTGTATTTAAGTCAGCGGTTGTGTTCCTTTGCAAAGAACGTTTGCGACAGAAGAAGAAACTCATGGTAAGTGCATATTAAATCAACGACCCTTTAAATTTATGAACTTTAATGCAATATTTTTTGATTTCCTTTAGGGTGTTTCAAGTAAGAATGCACCAAACGAAGTAGAAATCATACGGTATCAAGTGTTGATACCAGTAACTGAGGTGCAAGTGCGTGCGAGTTCTGCAAAGGACATGGATTCACACTTTTTATGGGAGTTAATACATTTACGTTCACAATTACAACGCCGTTCCGAAAAAGTTTATGTGCTCTCAAATAGTACAGCCGACTTTCGTAATGCATTCCTCAAGACTATAAGACAAATCATACGAGAAAGTGTGCGAAACATGTCAATTCCAATGAAGGGATTCGGTAGCTCTGGCTCTGTGTCAGGTCTCTCGTCGCAAGGTGGCGGTTCGGGTAATTCACAAACATTAGAGCGTCCTAAGCAACAGGTTAGTATTGTTAGTATGGTTAACATTGTCGAAGACTGCGCAAAATTACCATTTTGTTGTTTTACTAGATAACAATCATGCAAGGTTCTCAGACACTTGGCAAGACGAAAAAGAAGTCTGGTTCACAACGTCATTCCGCTGGCAACATTGATTACGATAATTTATCTGGTTGCCAAGAGACAGACGATGTGCCCATATTACATCACAGTCAACAACAACATCAATTACACCCTACCGGTTTCCGAAGTCGTAGCAAAACTGTGGGTGATGCTGCAGGTATAATTCTTTAAACTTTTCATAGCAGTTTTCATTTTTATTCTCACAGCTTCTTTTAAAATTCATCCAAATTTCATCCTTAAACATGCTAACTACTTCCACTCTAATCAATGCCTACTACTTCTTCTAACTCAATATTGTATTATTTTCATTTCTTTACCTTCTTTATTTGGTACGTTTTTCTTGGATTCCATTTTAATATTTCTAGATATTACTTCCTCCAATTTAGACCCACAACAACATCCAAAACATATTATACACCATCACCAGCAACAGATGGGTGAAATGGAACGTATGGATCCTGGCACCAAGTCCGAAGGCGAAGAAGATTCCCAACAGGGAACTATCAAAGCAAAAGCCACACTAGGCCGAACTCCCAACCATTTGACACTGAGGTAAGCAGAAGTTTGTAGTATGCTGATTTCTGATGCGTGCTAAATAACTTATCTTATCAATTCAAATTCATTTCGTCTTGAAATCTATTGAAATCATTACTTACCTCTCGTAATATAATGGTTTCATTATTTATATCGTAACTAATGATCGCGATCATTTGCATTTCCGTTCATTTTAATTTAACATATTAAATTTTTATTTAATCGTTATTTTTCCTTCCTTTCCCGCTAACTTTCATCAACACCATATCGCAGCACTACATCAACCCTATCGGTTGGCAGCACTGGTAGCCAAGCGCGTCTGATACAATCATCCCATCCACCATCGAGCTATCAGCCAGTCCTCATGAAAGATTTAGGTAAGAAACACTCAATAACAAACGAACTATCATTTCCTCAAGCAGAAACTGCAGCTACAGCGAGATCAGCTTCAGCCACAACATCACCGACAGTAGAGGATTTGACACTCGAATCCGATCTACGAGCTGCAAGCGTAGCAGCAGCTTTTAATTTAAGTCTTGGTAGTAGTGGTAGTCTATTTACAACTAGTGGTGGTGTAGGGGGTTTGCATGCAGATGAAGATAGTGAGACTGCAGCTGCATGTAGTAGTTTATATTGTCCAAAACGTTTGTCACCTCGACAATCGCCTAACAAAGATATTGAAATAATAGAAATATTTGCAAATGAGCTTAGTCAATTGACAGCGGCTCAACAAGTTTCGGTTGTGCATCAAACAGCAAAAGAGTCTTCCAAAAAATCAGGCAGCCGTCATAGTTCCGATAGTAATAACGGTAATGGGGGCGACGAACAAACACGTCGTTTCATGGATAAGCATTTAAGTGATCTTGAACACGAAAACTTTACCGATACGACATGTGACATAGCAGCTTATATGGCAAACCTTAAAGAACAAACACTTGAATCACAAGATTTGGAAATGGATGCGCAAGATCAACAACAAAATGATTCTAGCCTTTCACCCGAACCACAAACAGTAGTAGAGAATACACAACAAACAGTAATAGCAGATATAGAATCTCCACCAAGACCAGCTACAGAATCTGATACTGGCACTACAACTGGTACTTCCGAAAAATCAGAAGATGAATCTGAGGATGCTGCCAGATACGCAAGTGCACATTCCATAATTATCGATAAAAAAGTCGATAAAGTCTTCAAAACTAAAACTAGCGATAAACCACAGAAATCGAGTAGTGGCAGCAGCAGCAGCACTTGTAGTAGCAGTATGAAAGGAAAATCTACTAAATCTCCACGTCAAAGCATATATATATCACCTGATCGTTCTAAGTCACAAGGTAGTTCTCCCGTTCGTATAATAAAAATAAAGTCACCACGTCAGAGTGTAAGTGACCAGGGAAAGCGTTTAAGTGTCAGTTCCAGTCGAGACTCCTCACAAGATCGTCTTTCAAGCGGCAGACGTACTCCGAGTCCCAGACGCACTTCAGAAGGCGGCGGTGGTATATTAAAGCGAGCATCAAGTCCTTCACCTAGCATACTGAAACCACCAGCAAGCCCTAGTAAATCGAAGAGTCCCGACCGCAGCTGTCTTAAAAAGCTAGCACCGTCTCACGACTGCAGTTTAGAATCACTTTCTCCACATTTATCACCAAGAGATAGCGTAGAACGTTTATCACCAGATCGTGCTGGTACCAATTTATGCCAACGTCACTCTCCACGCAGCAGTTTTGATAGTCGTGCTTCCGAGCCCAATCTTGATATACCACGCTCAGCGTTGAAGTCTCCACGTAGCAGTTTCGATTCACGTTCACCAGATCGATCTGGACGCAAACGTAGCATGTCTGCACATGGAAGTTTTGAAACTGGACAAAAAACTTACACTGAGCCATACTATCAATATTATCCAATACATGACAATCAAACTTGCAGCGATCATTACATATCAGCTGCACCCACTTCAATGCGACATGATACTGGCTCTTCAGCACGACGCATAAGTAAATCACTAGAGCGGTCGACATCGCGTGAGAGCACAACCAGTAGCTCATACCGATATGGTGTATCGCCGGAACGAATTTACACTATAAATACTCAGACCGCAGGCAGTGGTCCTATGCGTTCACAATCTGCAGAAAATGCTTTCGCACGTTATAGCGCCTATGATGCTATCACAGCGCAACAATACCAAGCAGCAATGCAAAGTATGTACCACGAGCCACAGTGTCCACATGAACGTGCCTATCAGCTGAGCACTTCTGCACCCGAACACAGCACTTGCATTGACTGTCTGTACCAGAAGAGACCATCCTAGCATAAGCCCCGCGTACGGCAGAGTCGTACGCGGCAAAAGAAGCCACGCGTTGTGACCGGAATGCAAGGGGTTGGCAGCAGTGGTGTGTTTAATCCAGAAGCTGCAGGTGCTGCAGCCGGTGCCAGCGAAGCAAGTGGTTGTGTCGATTGTCATGACTACTACGAAATACACGTTTAAGCAATGAAGAGGCGCCAAATACTTAGAAAATGTGGAACTAATCTGGAATCATTTTGTTGTGCGCAAGATTAATTGCCATCCAAGTTACTCACTTAAGAGAAAATTTTAACATTTATCGAAGACAGGGATTTTCGCAGTAAAATTACAAATTTTAGTAAAAAATCGAACGAAGTTTTAAGCTTTAAGGTTTGCATTTACAAGATTTTTTTAAATTATTTTATAAAACTTTACTCGAATCGGCATTATACAAAAGAAGTTCAATTAATTTGTTTTGTAAATTTAATGAAAAACTTCTCAAAATTTTCACTATAAGAAAAATATAGATAATTTTTCATTTCAATGTATTTTTTTGTATATAAGATATTTTTATGTATATATTGAGAAACCCATAGAAGCGTTGTTTTAAGTGTGTTTATAGTTTATATATTGTACAGGGAAAAGATATATAATATTTAATTAGTACAATTATTTGAATTAAACCATTATAGTGAGTTGTAAGTTCTTATAAGCAAAATAATTAATTATATTTAATTGTAAACTGAACATTGAAGTTCATGTTGAATGTTAGTGAGTATTAAATAAGAATTAAGAAATTTCATTTATTTAATTAATTAAATTAAATCAAAATATACAGAACATACCTAGCAGTAAGTAAGTTGTTAACTAAATTAAGAGAAAATATAGCTCCAGTGATGTTTGAGGACATCAGCAAAGTAAGAACAAGACTTGGTTGTGTTCAAAGAATCCAAACGAATCTAAGACTGCAATCAATCTAAGCGCTGGTTTGGACTGTTTAATAAAATACGTAATAATTTAACAATATAAAAATTATTTGCATAAATAACATTATATCATTAATAAGAAATTAATTGCAAAAAAAAATAAATATATAAATGAATATATAATTTTATTTAGTTAGTTTGGAGCAACGAATGCAATAAAATAACTTTAAGCTAACAAATCGTTATTAATAATTAATTATTAATTAATAAATTATGATAAGCAACAATAATTTGGAGAAAAAAATCTCATGAAGTTTTCTTAAAAATATCTCATTGTAATTATTTATCAACTTTAATTATTTATTTAAAAAAGAAAAGGTTTCAATTAGGATTTGTTTGCAGACTTTTATTTTTGTGAGGATATATGATTAAAAAACAAGTATATTGATATGGAAGTTACATTTGCAGGTATTGTATTACCAAAGGCTCTCAAAAAATTATATCTTATTCATTCTGATCACTTATTAAAAAAATAAAACATGCAGATATATTTTGAAATTTACCAGAAGTAGGTGAAATATTACCCATTAACCAAGGATATCACAAAAAATATAGCTGAGTTATGAGTACTTATAAACTTTTAAACAAAATTATAATTTGTAGATCTGATGCTCTCCATTGATTTTTCAATATTTTTTTAAAAATATCGAAATGGTACAGAAATGATTAAGCAATGCTAAGCAGACTTTCTAACAGAGTTCCCACTATAAATCTTTTAACATAACTATGAAAATTTAAAACAAAGACGTCATATTTAAAAAAAAATTCATTAATAAACGTTATGTTTTTAATTCCTATAAGAAATATAATTTCCATTATAATCTACCTAACAACAATATTATTATTATTGTAACGCACGAGTAGCCGAGTAGACATCCCAGTCCACTTATCCATTTAGACGATCAAGTGTACATACTTTAACAAAGACTCAAAATCTAAAGACTCGATACTAGTCCAAAAGTTTCCATAAAGTCGAAACTCTGATTAAATATATAATATAGGTTTTTTGTGTTATTTTCTGCAGGTCTATGAAAATAGTATGCATATTATTCCTAATTGAATCTCTTTATTGCTATTGTAGGAAGAAGGGTGAATAAAAATTTAATATTCTTCGTGTTACTAGAAATTGTTATTATATATATAAGTTAAATATACAATAGACTCTCTATATACACTGCATATAAAATGAATTTAGAATAACGAAATATAGCTTTTGTTATTCGAAAAATCTAATATATATTTGACCATGCATAGGAAAAACGAATTTTATTTCTAGCAGCAATATAACAAAGACTTCAGCCAACCTGGCAACATATTACAAAATAATTTTTATTCTTAATAATTCCATGCCATTCTGTTTTTAAAATGTGTCTTCAAATGTTGCACTTAGAAGCCCAAGTTATTCCCTCAGCTTCAGCTTCCAGTACACATTTGGAAAAATCGCGATTGTGACATTCTTGGTACACCACTGAACTGCTTAATCTGGCTACACTCGATTTTATGCTGGACTTGAAGTTTTCATACTTCGCGTCTTGTACGATCCTTTCTTATTCTATCACTCTTATTATTCTCCAAGATTCTTCTTAAGCAAATCTACGGGTGTTATTTGTATTGTTGTTTGCTATCCAGCTTTCTGGTCCATTCAGTACAATACACGACGTTGCAGATATAATTTTCTTGTTAATCTTTCGTTTACCAAGAAATGTGGGATCTGTATACATTCGTTGAAACTCGTTTTCCTATTCTACGAAACATCTTCTAGCATCGATGTGTAGTGGTGCCCAATTAATTATATAGTTTATCCTATTCTAATTGCATACCTTCGTGAAGAAACGGTAAAACATTTTATCTGTTACTTAATTTTTTCTATACTTACCCTTTTTTTTACACCCCTGCCTTAAAGTATAAACTTTCCAATCGTTTAAGACTTTGTTTACATTTTGTTTTTTTGTGTCCGGGACTGCTATTATTTTAGCTGTTAATATGAGAGCTTAGCAGTACACCAGTTGTAGGTTTCAATCTTTTATTTACCTTATTGACTTCTCTCTGAATGTGACCAAACTCTTTATATATCTGCAACAATATTTCCTCAATAAATGATGGTTAAGTAGTTCTGAAAAATAGCTCTATTCTAGGTATTGTCTTTAGCCGAAATGCTACAAATATGATGGAATTTTTTAATTATTATTTGCATAAATCTGTGATGTTGAATTTTTATTTATAAAAAACTTAACTGAAATTTATATGAACTTCTAATTATTATTGTCCTGGTTAGCATTACCATTATTGATACAACCGAAGGGCAGAATTGAAGCTTTATTTAATATTTTAATATATCATCTATGCTAATAGATAAAATTCTCGATAGTACTAACTTATCGATACTAAAAATTAAACAATTTGTTATTATTTCCACTACAAGATATTTTTCTCCAATAAAATTATTGTTGCAAAATCTGTAAATAATTAAATATATGTAATATCATAGAGAGACCCTGATGTTAACATTTCTGATTTCATTTTTGTGTAGTTAATGTTTTCGATAAATATTTTAAGAAACGATAATAATTTAAGACTTAAACTGATCTACATAGGATTCATTATATCTGTTAAGTATAAAAGGGAAAGCAAACTGGGATTGAAAATAGGAAATAGTAAATTTGAGTCATAATTACATAGAAAAAAGTAAAGTAAAGTTCCCCAAAATAGTACATTAATGTAGCTTAATAAATAAGACTTAATATATATTGATAGGATATTCCAAAAAAAAAAACAAATGTTCTCAGATATATTAAAATTTATGAAACTAAAATACTTCAATCAACTAACTGATCAATCATTAATGAATTAAACAACGTCTATATAACAACGCAGCTCCAATAGCTTATATAGCGAAACGAATTTTTTCAAAAAGTTACAAAACTAAAATCCTTAAGTCTTTACGATAAATGATCAAAATAATTAAAATAAACTATAGTAAAAGATATACCAAATTCATAATAGAACTTATAAACCAAACAAACTATTGCAGGATAATTACATACTCGCAGAAAGTAATGCAAGATAATTCAAAAAATCCAATAAAATACTAATTAATTAATGTTAAGAAGCACTCATTTAAACTAAGAATCGTTTACATACACTAATTACATAAATTAAATGAATTAAATATATTATAAATGTTGTATAATTTTAAAGAAACAAAGGTTGATCGAAAATTATTACAAATCAAAACTATAAAAATATTGCAAATTAGGTAGCTAGAAAAGAAATGATAAATATATATACATTAAAGTAGTTTAGGTTTTAATTAAATTTTAATTTTAAATTATTATTAAAATTTTGAAAAAATTATTAAGACAAAAATGTACATATTTGTCTATTGAAATTTATTTCAAAATTTTGCTATTAATTCTTAATAAGAATTAATAAGTATTAATAATAAAACAAAAACGCCAAATATAAAAAAGAACAAATATAATAAAAATAAATATATAAATAATAATTAAAATGTAAAGACTATCGATATTTCAATTCAAAATTTAAATTAAATTAAAAATATAAAAACACTAATATTGGTTAAAAATAACATCAAGATATTTAATAACATAATTAAAAAATGCAAATAACAATAATTTAGTATTAATATATAAATTAAAATGAATCTTTTAAACTAAATTCAAAAAATTAATTTTAATATAATTATAAACTAACTGAAATTGTTGTTAAAAATAAATAATTAAACATTATTTAATTAATTTAATAATAAAATATTAATGTTAATAATAATTCAAAAATAATGAATAATAATAATAAATCAAAAATTGTAAATAATTTTTAATTAAACTATAAAAAAAATAATATATATACTAATTATTTTATAAAAACATTTTCATAAACTTATAAAATTTTTAATTTATGTGTATTAATATATATATGGATATATGAAAATAATAATATATGAGAAATCGTGTGAAAACAAAACAAAGAAACAAAAATAGATTTAAAGAAGTTCTCAAAACTAAATCAAAAATAAAAATGAATTCGATTGTAAAATTAAATATGGATAACAGTAGATAGAACTCAATATAAATAATTAATATTAAAAATATACGAAACAGTTGTTCTTAGCAGATATGTGTACAAATTATAAGTCCTAATTTAAGATAATTATATAAAGAAAAAATAAATTATAAAAATTATAAATTATCACCTAACCTAAATCACAGAAAAATTTTATATTTTTTTGATATTATTAGATAAATTCGATTAATTTTTAATACCAATATTTTATAATCACTGGATTCTTAGTAGTAATATTTACAACCATAAATAAAAATTATATA